TGGAACCTCTTCTAACTGGTTCGGTAGATTTGACGAACAGGTTCTATCGAACTGGTGCGAACTGGTAGGAACCCACCTCTGGCGTGCTCCCTCCTAACCATACTGATGGGCTCCGAATCCAATGACGATGTCCGTTTCACTCTGCGAATTCATGGAGAGCTAACCCTAATCCTAAGTGGAATTTTACCGAATGGGGTTTCCCCATGTATTTTGCCAGGAAATGTACATAAGGCAGGCTTGAAAGGCCTTCCTCCTCCTAACTATATTGACAGCCTCCAAATCCCTCCTCCTCTAAATGGTTTACAGACACCCTAATAATCTGGGTCCTCATTTTACTGACTTTGGAAGGATGAGAGGTTGAGTCAACCTTGAGCTGGTCAGGATCGAACTCATGACAGTCGGCAGAATTATTCTGCAATACTGCTTTTTAACCACTGCGCCACCACGGCTCAATCATGAAGTATGGAGATGTGCATAGGTGTATCTTAACCCAAATAGGATATTGTGTGAACCTATCAGAACCTAAAATAGAATACATTCATCAAGAATCATAAGATACAACATTTAGTGATAGTCATAGGTTACTAATAAGCAATCAAATCACACTAGGAAACAAACAAAACAATATAAATTGGAAAGATATAAGCAACATGGTTATAGTCACAAGTGGGAAGAGATAGGTACTAGGAAGGAAGAGAAGAAGAATAGTAATGCAGACTTAGTAAATAGTGTGACAGTGTTGAGGGAATTAGTTGTTTAGCAGAGTGATGGGATTCGGAGAAAAACTGTCCTTGTGTCTAGTTGTTATGATGTGCAGTGCTAGTCTAAAGCATCGTGTTGAGGGTAGGAGTTGAAACCATTGATGTCCAGGATGCGAGGGGTCTGTAGATATTTTCACAGCCCTCTTTTTGACTCCTGCAGTGTTACAGGTCCTCAATGGAAGGCAAGTTGGTAGCCATTGTTTTTTCTGCAATTCTAATTATGCATTGAAGTCTGTGTCTGTCTTGTTGGGTTGCAGAGCCAAACCAGACAGTTATGGAGGTGCAGAGGACGGACTCAATAATTTGAGTTATAACATCTTTTTTTTCTGTTACACACAGGCATCTGTGTTGCTGATACCTTAGAAGTGGAGGTTGTTAAAGAAGTCTTCGTTAACGTCCATATGCCTTACTCCGTTGTCCGAGGAGAGCAAATTGAATTAAAAGCAACCATTTACAACTACATGACATCAAAGACCAGGGTAAGAGCAAGCGGTTAAAAAAGACAATTGTGGGCTTCACAGCCACTCCTTGTTTGCAGGGGCGACTTTTAACTCTCACGTTAGACTCTGGTTATAAAAAAAGGCTACAGCTATGCAGGAAACATTGTTGACATTCTCCAAAGCACCCGAGGGCAGGACAAGAAGCAATGGGTGGAAACTAATCACGGAGAGAAGCAACTTAGAATTGAGGAGGAATTTCCTGACAGTGAGGACAATTAATCAGCGGAACAGAAGTTGCCTCCAGAAGTTGTGAATGCTCCAACACTGGAAGTCTTTA